TCACAGCTCACAGCAACCTCAAACTCTTGGGCTTAAGCAATTCTCTTGCCTCAGTCTCCTGAGTAGCTGGGACTGCAGGTGCCAACCACAGTGCCTGGCTATTTTTTTGGTTTTGGTTGTCATTGTTGTTTAGCAGGCCTGGGCTGGGTTTGAACCCACCAGTCTCAGTGTATGTGACTGGTGCCCTACTCACTGAGCTACAGATGCTGAGCCCAACTGTTCCTTTCTTTTTGCCCTCTTTCTTCTTCTTCTTCTTCTTCTTTTTTTTTTCTTCTTTACCTGATTATAAGAGTGTAATATACTTATTGGGAAAAAAACCCAGAAAAATACAGAAAGCAATTTATAAATAATCCTGATATTCAGAGATGATAATTACTGTGCTAAATTTTTTGGATTACATCCTTTTAGATTTTTTTTTCCTTCTGTTTTTCTGCCTCTTCTTTTAATGTGGCTTAAAGGTTTGTAATTTGGGGTGGTGCCCGTAGTTCAGTGGGTAGGACGCCAACCACATACACTAAGGATGGCAGTTTCTAACCGCCCTGGGCCAGCTAAAACGACAATGGCAACTACAACCAAAAAATAGCTGGGTGTTGTGGTGGGCACCTGTAGTCCGAGCTACTTGGGAGGCTGAGGCAAGAGAATCACTTGAGCACAGAAGTTTGGGGTTGCTGTGAGCTGTGATGCCACGGTACTCTACCCAGGGCAACAGCTTGAGACTCTGTCTCAAAAAAAAAAATGATAATAAATAAAGTTTGTAATTTGTAGTTTTTAATGATTTTGCTAGTTCGAAAAAATTGGCAGCTACATAGGAAAATTGCTGAATTCAGGGAGGAATTGAAGATTTATCTTTCTCTGATGTAAAAACTTGTCTATTTCTTCACCGTGGAAGGCATCGTGCAACCACTATAATTTAATTTTTTCATCTCTACTTTTTTGGGAGCCAATTTGACGTCATTTTATATGTGTGGGTGCATATCCAGATTGTTGGCAAGCTTTCCCACCATTGCAAATAAATCACTTGTTTTATGTAAGTCTTTGTAAATAAGAAAGGGTGCAGAACACGCTCTTCCAGTGGGGACACAAGATGGGTGACATTCATGTCACCAGTCATTTAACAGAAAAGAACAAAGAATGTAGAATTCTATTATGTGTCTCGCTTGTTGATTCTGAGGAAGTGTTTCATTCCATTGAACAGAGTATAGTTCTCACCTTTGTGATGGCAAAAACAACACTACCTTTAATGCTACCAGCCTGTTGAAGAAATGCTAGTTAAAAATTGAACATTCTAATGGAGAGAACTTGCACAGTACTGTCCCTTGCTAGTGACATTGCTATGATTATATTACGTTCAAAACCTGTATAGGAAGTCCTTGGGAAAATGGAGTTCTTACCTGGATATATTTTTGACTCTGAAGAACTTCTGTGGAAAATCCAAGTAGAAAAGGTAATGGTGGGGCTGTGAACTTCCTTCACACACCTGACAGCAGAAGCACAATAACACTTCCTTGCTGACAGTCACGGTAGAGTGTGCTAGAAGATATTGGAAGTATAGTAAAAATGGAATAATTTGGATTCTGAATTTAAAAAAGGAAAAGAAGCAGACTGTAAGGCATGCATATAACTCTACTTTAGTTGATCTCCTTGACCAGAAGTTAAGTGACCTTCAGTGATATGCTACAGCACAGTGGTTAAAAAAAAATAAGTAGTTAATATGAAAATAATTGAATTAGGAAGCTATAGGGTGCCTGTATAACATCTTTAAGGCAAGCAGCACATACACTTCAAAGAAATAAGGGTAGAACCAAATGTAAAATGTCTTAGGAGGCATGTCATCACCAAGAAGTCTAAGGAGCAAAATACATTATTGTTATGCAGTTGTGGAAAGAGTCATAAAATTAAAAAAAAAAAAAAACTTCCACCAGGCTGGACACATGGGAGGAGCACCCAGTGCAAGGCGTCCCTATACTGGTTGTTTCTGCATCTTACTCCTGAGATGCACACAGCCTTCCTGTGCAGACACAGACTGGGACATAGGCAGAATAAGTCTGTAGCATGGGGTCTGTGAATCCCTAGCTCTCAACTCTGCTCACCTTTTAAGGGGAACCTTTTTGCCTGTTGCCTGCATTGTAATGTGTTAAACTAATGTTCTTTAGACATTGAGGTCTTTGCCCAACTATATGGTCTCATGCTCATGATTTGCCCCATTTGAAATTCTCTAGAACCCTTCTTTGTCTGACAGTTTATTCTTTCTTGCCAAATGCTCCTCTGCAGTGTGACCCTTTTAGAACCTCTAGCGCAGAAAGGGAGGTTCTGTTCTTTTAGCACCTTTGGTACTTTGTCCCCATCTCTGTCAGGGAGCACAGTGCATTTCATAGTTACCCCAAAGCATGCATGTCTCATGGAGCTGTCTCTCAGCATCTAGACCACTGCCTGGCACACAGTAGGCTCTTGATACTTGCTTTAAAATGTAAGAGAGTGTCCAAGCTTAAATAAAGTAAGTCTAGGAGAGGTTCCTGTATCTTCTTCAAAGTTTTGCAGGTCCAAGTTGAGTAATATGATGCCTGATAGCTGTAAAAGAATAAGGTCAGACAGATCCATACCTGCAGAACATGTTCTGAACGCATATTTAGAATAGCGGTGATGAGATGATTTAGCGAGGGAAAGAATAACCTTTTCAATAAATGGTGCTGGAACAACTGAAAATCTACATGTAGGAGAATGCAGTTGGACCTCCATCTCATGTCATATACAAAGATTAACTCAGATGGATTATAAACTTAAATGTGATCACTAGAACTGTAAAACTCTAGGAGTAAAATTCGATGAGCTTGGCCTTTACGTTCATTCTTAGATACAACACCAAAAGCATCAACAACAAAAGAAAAAAATTAGATAAATTTGACTTCATTCAAATTAAAAATTTTTGTGCCTCAAAGGATATCACTAAAAAGTGAAAAGTGGGAAAAAAAATATATAAAACTCATATATTTTAGAGGAGACGTGTATAGAGAATGAACTCTTAAAATTCAAGAATATGAAAGACAACCCTTAAAATGGGCCAAGGATCTGAATGGACATTTCTCTAATAATACATAAAAGATACTGAATCTCATTATTACAGAGAAATAAAAGCAAGTCAAAACCACAGTTCAGTAAACTTCATACCCATTAGGGTGGCTATAGTCAGAAAGACAGATAATAACAAGGATTGGCAAGGATATGGGAAACTTGAAACACTCATACACTGCACATGGTGGTTTAGAATGGGGCAGCTGCTTTAGAAAACTCTTTGGCAATTCCTCACATGGTTTGAGTACATTAGCATATGACCCAGTAGTTCAAGGGAAATGAAAACATAACCACACAAAAACTTGTACATGAATGTTCATAGCAGCATCCCTCATAAAAGCCCCAAAGTGGGAACAACCCAAATATCCCTCAGCTTATGAATTGATAAATAGAACATAGTATATCCATATAGCACTTTCAATCCATAAAGAGGATTGAAGTGCTGACATGCTAGAATGCGGACGAGCCTTTACATGTTGAGCGAAAGTCAGACGTAGTGGTTGGTCATCTCCCCTAAAAGTCC